TTAAAAACACATTTAATTGAAAACCCAACTTTGTATTGACAAAAAATTTTGACAAGGTTTTTAGCCAAACTTAGTAATCACATGAGTGCCAGTTTCCTTGATGTAGCCGGGGCCTCATGTCTGTGTTCGGGTCCTAACACAGAATGGCCCCAGTTCTTAATTGGGCCATTAGCCACTATCACTATACCATTCTGGTTGTTAAATAAGTGGCCTAACCCAATTATTTGCATAAACAAGTTCCAATAGCTAATAAAACCAATGGAAATCCATTATATTGTCTAACAGGAGTAGAAATGTTAAAATCCACTGAAAACTTGTTTCTCAACAAATGACTGTGCTTCCATAGCAATCACTATTCTAGAACTGCAGTACAGTATTATTGCATGAGAACCAGAAAAACAACAGAGAAAATGATAGGTTTGGTTGTCCTGCCCAAGGTGAATGATCAGCAGAATGTAACCATGAAGAATAATTGATAAAATGGAAGTAGATAGGTAACATTTTTTTTGCTTTCAATAATCTAAGGGGTTATTTGTAGGATGGGAAAGGAAGTATTTCTTCTTTCTGTGTAATTTTTAACCTGATTGCACCATGGATTTTTTTTGTATTAAGGACACTGTGACATTGTAGTTTTTTTCAAATTTTCAGGGGAATTGTTTAAATCTTTCTGCCCTTCTCTGTCCTATACATATGAAAAATAACACTAAAGCTATGCTTGCCAGGAATATAATGCCATGTTCCAGTGTAATTCAGTGTTCCTCTTGCATGCATGACTTTTAATTGTTCTGTCCCACTAATGACATCTCATGGGGCTCACAACCATGAGGAAGGGGTGAGATACATACCTTTGTTCTTTTCTTTGGATAAAGCATAGCACAGGGGACTAATGGCAGCAAGGGGCCACATTCTTCACTACTTTATTCCTTGTGTAGTCACTTGTACTGAGTACAAAACATTAGAAATAATAAAACTAATAGAAATTAAGGGCTGGAAGGGATCTCAAAAGATTGTGTCCAACCCCTCTGGTCTGGGCAAGAATACTGCTGAGATCAAATGATCCTAGCAAAGTGTCTATCTAGTGTCCTCTTGAAGACTTCCAAGGTCAGAGACTGCACCACCTTCTTGGGAAAGCTATTCCAGATTCTGGTCACCCTTACCATAAATAAATTATTTCTTACATCCAACCTGAAATCACCCTCTAACTGTTTATGGCCATTGCTCCTTGTCCTCCCCTGGGGCACAGAACTATGACGTAACTGGAATAACAGGGACCTGGTGGGAGCTCGCATGAATGGAGCATGGTCATGCATGGCTCATGGATGGCTATAAACTGTTCAGGAAGGACAGGCAGGGGAGAAGAGGAGGAGGGGGAGTTGCACTTCATGTAAAAGATCCATATGATTGCTCAGAGCTACAGTACGAAGCTGGAGATAGGTCCGGTAAGAGTCTCTGGGTTAGGGTCAGAGGGGAAAGCAACAAGGGTGATGTTGTGGTGGGGGTCTGCTATAGACCACCAAACCAGGAGGAAGTGGTGGATGAGGCTTTCTTCAAGCAGTTAGCAGAAGTTTCCCAATTACTGCCCTTGTTCTCATGGGGGACTTCAATCTCCCTGACACCTGCTGCAGAGGCAATACAGCGGAAATCCAGGAAGTTTTTGGAGAGTGTTGGGGACAACTTTTTGGTGCAAGTGCTGCAACAGCCAAGTAGGGGCCATGTTCTTCTTGACCTGGTGCTCACAAACAGGGATGAATTGATGGGGAATGTAGTAATGGATGGCAACTTGACCAGCAGTGACCACGAGATGATAGAGTTCAGGATCCTGAGGAAAGGAAGGTTGGAGAGCTGCAGAGTAAGGGCCCTGCACTTCAGAAAAGAATACTTTGACTTGCTCAGGAAACTCATGGGCAGGATCCCCTGGGAAGCCAGACTGAGGGGGAGAGGAGTCCAGGAGAGCTGGCTGTACTTCAAAGAAGTCTCAGTGAAAATGCAGGAAGAAAACATCCCAATGTGCAGGAAGACTAGCAAGTATGGCAGAAAACCAGCTTAGCTTAGCAGGGAACTCTTCAGTAAACTAATCACAAAAAAGGAAGCTTATAAAAAGTCAAAACTTGGACAAACAACTAGGAAGGAGTATAAAAGCATTGCTCGGGCATACAGGGATGAAGTCAGGAAGGCCAAAGCGCAATTGGAGTTGCAGCTAGCAAGAGTTGTGAAGGGTAACAAAAAGGGTTTCTACGAGTGTGGTTGGTAGCAAGAGGAGGGTCAGGCAAAGTGTGGGACTCTTACTGAATGGGGAAGGCAACCTTGTAACAGAGGATCCAGAAAAGGCTGAAGTGCTCAATGCCTTTTTTGCCTCAGTCTTCACAGGCAAGGTCAGAAGACTACTGCACCAGGCAGCAAACTTTGGGGAGGAGGTGAGCAGCTTTTAGTGGTGAAAGACTACTTAGAAAAGCTGGACATGTATAAGTCCATGGGGCGAAGTGGAATGCACCTGTGGGTACTGAGGGAGTTGGTTGATGAGATTGCAAAACCATTGGCCATCATCTTTGAAAACTCATCATGATCAGGAGAGGTCCTGGATGACTGGAAAAGGGCAAACATAGTGCCCGTATTTAAGAAAGAGAAGGAGGAGGATCTAGGGATCTATAGACCAGGCAGCCTCACCTCAGCCCCTGGAAAAATCCTGTAGCAGATCCTCAAGGAATCCATTTCTAAGCACTTGTGGGAGAATAAGGTGATTAGGAACAGTCAGCATGGATTTACCAGGGGGAAGTCATCACTGAACCATATGATTGCCTTCAGTGATGAGATAACTGGCTCTGTGGATGTGGGGAGACTCTTGGATGTAGTGTACCTTTATTTTAGCAAGGCTTTTGATATGGTCTCCCTCAGCATTGTCGCAGGCAAGCTAAGGAAGTAGGAGCTGGATGAATGGATTATAAGGTGGATTGAAAACTGTCTGGAGCATTGGGCTCAGAGTGTAGTAACCAATGGCTCAATGTCGAGTTGGCAGCCAGTATCAAGTGGAGTGCTCCAGGGGTCGCTCCTGGGGCGAATTTTGTTCAATGTCTTTATCAATGCCCTGGAAGATGGCATAGCGTGCACCCTCAGCAAGTTTGCAGATAACATCAAGCTGGGGTTAGGATTCAGAGTGACCTAGTCAAATTGGAGGATTGGGTCTGTAACAGGGACCTGTTGGTCCCATTTCTAAAACAAATGAAAGGAGAAACTTACCATGCCAGTGGCAAGGCAGCAGAAAATGCTGACATTATCAGCTGGTGTCAGGAGCATTCACCGCACCTGGAAGACAGAAAATGCTGTTAATTGAGAACCTGAATTACAATGATAAAAGGAACAATGAAAGAACAGTACGCCTGTGGAAGGGGAACTTAAAACCATGGTGATTTAGTGATGGTGTGGATTTTCATGTGGAGGCACTACAGTGACAGAGAAACAATTATCAAACATATAGCAGTTGCCTGCAAGCCTGGGAAAGTTTGGCGAACTCCATTTCAGGTAACAAGAAGTACTTAGAGACTTTGTTAGAAGTTAATAAGTGTATAACGGGTCTGTAAGGACTTTTTTTTTATGTTACTCTACCTGAAGTGGGGGAAGAGTTCAGTCAGACAAAGAAGCTATCTCTTTAGTTATTCCTTTTTTTTTTCTGTTTGTTTCTGTTCCCATGTGGGTCTAAAGTGTGGCAATTGGGTTATAAATAAGATGTGTACGCAAATGCCTTGAACCATGTTACCTGTTGTGAAGTGAGCAGATCTCTGGTCACAGAGATGTACTAAGAGAGTAAATAGAGAGATTAATTTCAGCTGCAACCACAGATCAGAGTGGCCTATGTGTTCTGTTCCTAAATAAACTCCCATCAAGTCATGGCAAAAGGGATCTCATGAGGTTCAACAAGGACAAGTGCAAAGTCCTGCACTTAAGACAAAACAGTTGTTGGCTACAAAGGACCAACTCACAGGATCATAATAAATTCTAATTTATTGTACAGGATGTGAAGTTACCAATAAAATCATCAATGCAAACTTTAAGTTATAAGGGGTACTGGTCACCTTAACACTCAAACCCATGTAGTATAGTATATAGTAACTGCAGTAGTGATTATTAGAGCACTGGTGTCAGTATATCTACTTATCCAAGACCCCAGAGTCTGCTGTCAATGGTCAGCTTCCTTCAAGGCGATGGCTTCTCCAGGAAGGGGTCACCTGCTTGTCCTTCTATCTTAGTAGGTCAGGTGCTGGATAAGAGTGCGCCACTGTGGGTCACACTTCACTGCCTTTTTATCCCTTTCTGGCAGACTTGTGTGATCCCCCAGCATCATCATAGCTGCCCAATCTTGAAGTCGCTGTCTCATGTGGGTCTTGAGCCATGCATGACAGCTGTTAGTCACAGGTGTCTCTGCCTGCTGGTACCTGAAGTTTCAGGAGTCTACCCTTGACTTATTGACATAATGGCTGTATTGTTATGGGTTACAGAAATAGTCAATAGGGTGGGTGCTCAGTTCCAGGAACCAGTTCCTTGGCTTGATTAACCTAAAATGGCTCGTAGAGTTTTGTAATGCTAAGTTTCTCTGGCTAGATTATTGTCAATTAGCAGCCAGAGACTCTTGCTTTGTGTTCAGTTATCATACATCTTTGTCTCACCGTAGTTTCTAGGGTCGGAAGGGACCTGAGCAGATCATTG